AGAATCAAATATGGAAGTTTGATTCATTGCCAAAGGGACAAAGGTAGTAGATCGCAAAGGGGTTTGTGATGCGAAGAAAGTGTGTACACGTGATAATCCGACTGATATGATGACCAAGGTAGTCACTATTAACAAGTTTAGGCATTGCAAACTTGCTTGGTGTGTGCAGTACTTAGTAGAGCCCTTTCGAGGGATAAGGGCAAGATAGAGAGATGGTGTTCCTGTTGATAAAGAGAGTTCAAGTCGAGGGAAAGATTTGTTAATGATGTATTGAATTTTTCCGTTGTATATTTAGAAAATTCATAATTTCTATTGGTTCAGGAAATACATTGTCCTAATAGATTTGGAAAAGAAAAACATATTGCTCTTGTAGGTTGAGTAAACTTTTCTCTTGTAGATTTGGGATGCATATATAAGGGTTGTAGTTGGGGATTCATATGACTATACATCTTTTTTCTTTCATAGTGAAAACGTTCTACTTTTGTCTCGTGGATTAGGCTTAGCCGAACCTTGTTAATTTCTTATGTTATTTTTCTTCTTTATTTGCCTTATGTGTGATTGTGTTAGTTAAGCTACGATATTTCTGTAACAGAAACTCTTCACAACATTACTTTTCTGTGGAATGAAAAAAAAATTCGGTCTGCAAAAAGGCATTTACTAGAGGGTATTGACAAATGCTAAAATTAATTATTGAATTTTATGAGTCAGAAGCAAGTACCTTTCTATGTTAAATCTGGTTAGGTTGAGAAAAAAATTGTTTTTCTGTGGAGTGACATGTTTTTTCATCTGTCTCTCACTGCAAAATGAAGGACTTTCCAGACTTCAGAGCGCATTGATAAATGTTTAAATTTATTATCAAATTTTATGAGTTTGAAATATGTAATTTAGTACTCTGTGGAATGATATGCTTCTCTAACTGTGTGTTCTCAAAGTGAAGGCATTTCCCCAAGGGTATTGATGTTTACTTTGAGAACGTTGGAGGAAATATGCTGGATGAGGTGCTTTTGCATATGAACCTCTATGGTAGGATTGCAGTTTCTGGGATGATCTCTCAGTACAATTTAAAGAAACCAGATGGTATACACAATTTGTTTTGTCTTATCTCAAAGAGATTACGAATTGAAGGTTTTTCTGAGTTTGACTTCCGGCACAAGGTTTCAGAGTACCTCGAGTTTGCTATTCAGCTAATAAGAGAGAAAAAATTGCTTTTTGTAGAAGACATTGCTGAGGGTTTAGAAAATGCTGCATCAGCTTTTGTTGGTATTTATCATGGGCGAAAGTTGGAAAGCAGATTATTCAAGTTTCAACTGAGTGAGAACTTGAAGAATTTGGGTGAAAACAAAAAAAATATTGTGTTTCAAAGCAATATGCTGAGGATGTTGGTTTAGTCCTCCTTTTGAGTAAACTGTTATATTATTTATTTTTGAGAAAATTATAAGAATATACCATTTAAGACTTTAGTTAACAATATATGCATATACTCCTTTTTATTTACAAAACTAAGTTTTTAATTACAAACATAACAAAATATTTAATTTTTTATTTTTTTAAAATATATTTGGTATCCATATCTATTTCCTTTTTTAGGGGGTGGGGGTGGGGTGGGGTGGGGTTATGTGCTAATTTTATGAGATTGATAATTATTGTTTACTTTTTTTGACTTTTCATCCCCAATTTCACTCTTTTACGTACCTTTTTTTTTCTATAGTATTGATTTTCTCTCTTAATTTTTTATTCAATCAAATCATATTATTAATTGAAGCCTTCCCTCACATTTTTACCATTATTTTCATCTAGGTAAAAAACATGTAGGTTTCATCAAGTATGCATAGTGTTTTCACAATTATAACTGCATCATAGTTTCACCAAATATGCAACCATGTAATATATAAACATACATACATACCAATTATATAACCATCATTTTACCAATAATTATTACTCCTATTTTATACATTTTAAATATATCAATTATATAACCATCATTTTACCAATAATTATTACTAATTTATACCTTTTAAATATATCAATTATATAACCATCATTTTACCAATAATTATTTTACTACTATATATAAATATACTATTTTAGACCAATAATTATTGCTATTTTATACCTTGTAAATATACTACTATAAATCAATAGGTATTGCATAAATATTTTGAAAATATTTATTACTGTAATAGGCTGAACAATAGTTTTCACCATGTTTGTTATTGCATCCGATAGCAACAATTGCATGACTATAAGAAATTTCATCATGTTGAAATTTTCCACAACTACGTATGTCATAAACCTATTAGCACAATCTGTAAATATATGAAGATATTATTAATATAATTACTACAAAAATTCATATACAAAGTTCAATTTAATCATTACAAAGTCTTATTCACCAATATATATTCAAATATACATAAAACACTTTGGTATATCTAAAGTTGATTTTTTGGTGTATTTTTCAAAATTATGAATCTTCATTGGTGGGAACGGATCAGTCACAATATATTTGAGTTCCAACTCAAAAACGATTGTGTCCACACCTAATTGAGAAGCAGTAGTATTAATTAAGTCTTGGTAATTGGTGTCCACATCATACCACTCCTTCAATCTTGAAATTCAGATACTTTCCTGCGACATTACAAATATTTGTTAGTCAAAATTCAAAAAAAATTGATGGTAGATAACAAAAATACTCATTAACATATGTCTAATACACCAACATATCTACCAAAAAAAAGCTCAATATCTACAATACAATTACTACACCATCACACACACACACACAAATATATAGATGCACGCACGCACGCACAGACACACAAATTAGTTTATAAAGTATGATGTATTTATGGTAAAATGTTAACCATGTCGCTATATAAAATGGTTGTAACTATTATCACTACAGTTGTAATTGAGTCTTCGTATTTGATATTCGCATCATATATCACTCCTTCAATCTTGTAATCCACGTACTTACATGTTGGATAAAAAAATAATTAGTGAAATTATTAAATAAGTATTACATAGTCATATTCTTGGCTTAGAACTAATTTTGGTTGTCAAGTTACTGGTTTACAGGGTTAATTGTATTAAATAAGTATTACATCTATAACATGATACAAATTAAAATATATAAGAAATTAAGTAATACATACATAATAAGAATGGTATTTCCACTGTAATCAAATTACACAGATTGGTATATAGAATGCTTTTATCTATATAAAAAAATGCAATCATGTTGGTATCCAAAATTGTTTATGAACGAAATTAGTTTTCTGTTTTTTTTTTATTGTTTGGGTATGAAGTATACCAACACAAAATAATATGTATTTTAACCAATTTAAAAATTATTCAAATTGTTGTCTATAAACAACCCAAAATACTCTATCAATTATACCAATATGTGTATCCAAAAAATATCACGAAAGTTGGTGTTTATATACGACCAAAAATTCACGAATTATGATGTTTATTTAAAACATAATATACACTATCAATTACACCAAATCATCTACACCAAGTATACTATCAATTACACATAATAATCTACAAAAAATTATTAACGGAATTTTCACCAAATCATTTATCAAAAAAATGTCAGCAATTTTTTTTGTCTATAAACAACCCAAAAGACACTATCCACCACACCAATAGATGTACCCAAAGATTATCATTACAGATGTGGTTTATATACGAACTAAAATATAATAATTACACAAAAAAAAAAATCAACAAATTCTGATTCTTATTACAATCATAATATACAATACCAACTATACTTGATGAATTGCACCAACTAAACTATCAATTAGACCTAATAATGTACTAAAAAATATTCAGGGATTTTGACGTTTATACACGAATCAATATAGACCATATTTTTTCACAAACTCATTTACCAAATTAGAATCACAAACTTTGATTTTTATAGGCAACCAAAAAACCCTACATATTAAACCACATCAAATACCAATAAAATAATCTCAGATTTGGTATTTAATAACAACTTAATATGCAATATCAATTATTCAACTCAATCCGTAAAAGTGATTTTTAAAGGAAGACTTTAAATGCACCATCATATTCAATCCTAATGTAACAAGATTTTGAAGTAAAATTCAATAACTAAACACTCACTTTCGTCGTTAACACGAAAAACATATACCAACCTAATATATAAAATACCTAATAGATTACAACATGACGATTAAAAAAAATACATGTCGCCTTCCATCGCCCGTTATGTTGAATTAGAATTGAAAAATTATTTGTATCCATAATTGAACAATCGAGCAGAATGGGGAGAAATAGAGTTTTAGTTTGGTTAAAAAACCTTTTTTTTTAATGAGAAAGAATATATAACAAATCTGAGTAAATCGTGAAAAGTAAAAAAATTGGAGAAAATCAAGGAATGGGGAGACAATCATGGCTGATTATTTAAACGCTATTTTTTTTATATATATATACTAACTCCTATTTTTGAAAAAAAAACTATTGCTATACAGGTGAAAAAATAAACTATTGCTATATAGTGGTTATTAAGATACTTAAATTGTATACTTAAGTTTTTTGCCCTTTATTTTTTGAGGTGAAAACGTTGCAGAGTTTCAAAATAGACAGTAATGTGTATTTTAGAAGCACAAAAGTACCTATGAAAATAAGTGCTTAAAGGCTAAGATTGACTAGGATTTAGGTTTGTCTCCCATGTAATAATTGATTGAAAGATCATGACACAAAGCCTTTTTAGTCATAAAATTGTATGCTGTATGCTTGTAAAATAGTAGATAACTCAGCTGAAGGTTAAACTGACCACTTTGAAACTGAAATGACCTCTCTAATATAAGAGTATTCCTCTAGTTGTATTTGCACAGTTGACAGCCCACCTTTGTTGAAAAGAAGTATATTTTTGTTTCTGTCATTATTTATAGTGAGAAAGTGCAGTGGTGGCTGTGGATTATTGAAAGTGCTTGTCCAATAAAAATATTAAAGCATAATCGATATAACAACTATTTTTATTCATATATGTCTTATTTTGTTCTTGTATAAACTTATCCAAAAACAGAATAGACAAAAACCTAAAAGTTGTTCATGTTTAATAGTAATCCAAAAGTTCCTTCACTTAGGGGAATAGAGATGTGAAGAGAGTCTAGGTTCCAAGATCACAGGAACAGGAAACTTTGGATGTGTTGTGAGCCCATAATGTTCTTCCACACTTATGCTTTCTGTATTCATACCTTGAGGTAATTTCCAGATGAATCCATGCAACATGTTGGCTAAAGTTGCTCGGATAACCTTAAGTCCCAAACTATAGCCAGGGCATCTCCTTCTCCCCGAGCCAAATGGCAAGAAGGAAAAGTTATGTCCATCCATGTCAATGTCCTTTTCTAGGAACCTCTCTGGGAGAAACTCTTCTGCTCTATCCCAGTACTTGGGGTCCCTTCCAATGGTCCAAACATTCACCAGAACGGTCGTTCCTTTCTCTATGTCATAACCAGCCACATTACAATCTTCAATAGCACAATGTGGTGCTAGCATAGTTCCAAGAGGATGTAACCTTAGTGTTTCCTTGAGAATTGCTTCAATGTACAATAGCTATGAACAATCTCTCTCTTCTACCCATATCTCCTTTCCGACAACCTAGTCAAGCTCTTGGATTGCCTTGTCAATAATCCTTGGCTGTCTAAGAAGTTCTTGAAAAGCCCATTGCACTACTGCTGTCAAGCTATCTGTTCCTCCAGTTAGTAGATCCTGACATAGTTTAGTAAGGTTAGAAGTTTGTCTAAAACAAGAGAAAATCTAGAATTGAAAGAAATTAACCTGCATTAATCCTTTGACACAATCATCTGTGAGTTTGACTTCCAAAGTAGGGTCTTGAGCCATCTGCAACAAGACATCCACCATGTCCTTCTCTGCATTCTTCTTAGCCCTGTGGTCATCTAGCACAATGTTGTGGAACTTATCAAAACTTCTTAATTGCTTCAATGTACAATAGCTGTGAACAATCTCTCTCTTCTACCCATCTCTCCTTTCCGACAACCTGGTCAAGCTCTTGGATTGCCTTGTCAATAACCCTTGGCTGTCTAAGAAGTTCTTGAAAAGCCCATTGCACTGCTGCTGTCAAGCTATCTGTTCCTCCAGTTAGTAGATCCTGACATAGTTTAGTAAGGTTAGAAGTTTGTCTAAAACAAGAGAAAATCTAGAATTGAAAGAAATTAACCTGCATTAATCCTTTGACACAATCATCTGTGAGTTTGACTTCCAAAGTAGGGTCTTGAGCCATCTGCAACAAGACATCCACCATGTCCTTCTTCTCTGCATTCTTCTTAGCCCTGTGGTCATCTAGCACAATGTTGTGGAACTTATCAAAACTTCTTTTCAAAGCCTTCATTTGTTTCACATACCCCTGCAGGTCCAACAAACTGAGCCATGGAATCCAGTCTCCAATGTTAAAAGCACCATTAAGTAAAAACCATTGGTCTACTAGGTGCTGCAAATCTTCCACCCTAACTGTTGATTCACCAAAGTACTTGTTGCTCAAAACCATCCTTGTCATGCTACAGAGGCTAAATCGTGACAAATGGTCTTTCAGAAAAAATGGCTTCCCAGCAAGAGAATTTAGCTGGGAAATAAAGGTCTGCCTTTCTTCAACACGAATGTACTCGAACGAGTCTAGCCTTTTTGGCGTAAATATCTCGTTCAGGTAAATTCGTCGTGCTTGGCGCCAATAGGGACCATACGGTGCCCATGTCATGTCACAATAGTTATAGCTTGTATACTTTCCACCAGCTAACAGAGGACGGGAGGCGAAATTTGCATCATGTATTTTTAGAAACTGTTTTGCCATTTCAGCAGATGATGCCACAAGAACTGGCCTGGAGCCAAATTTCAGCAGCATCAGCTCTCCATATTTTTTGGAAAGCAAGTCAAAAGATTGATGTGGGATAGGACCAAGTAGGTTCAAATTACCAATGATGGGCCATGGTTTTGGACCCGGTGGTAGCTTCCGGTTAACTGGGCGTCGAGAAGTGGTAATTTTACAGAGAAAAGCTAATACAACTAGTCCTGCCAAGGCTAGAAAAACCTCCATATTTCATTTTGTGATGAATGATGACAAGTTTATTTAGTATGGCAAATATATTTATAGAAGAAGTAGGTGGGATTTGGAGTTGCACTGAATTGAGACTTTTGACTATGTGTATCCAATTTCTACAGAGTGAAAATGACACTGGCTTGTAAACTTATGTTAAGTCATACAACTATGCAGCAGTCAGAGCAGCAGATTTGAAAAGTGAGCACTAACATTTTGTATTATAATTAGTTTGTAGTTTCCTGGAAACTCTACAGCAATGGAAATTAGTGAATTAGACCGTAGAATATTGCAAGGAATTAAATGTATACGACTTTTTAGAGTAATGTGATTTACACATCAGCCTATCATTTTTAATGGTTTGCACCCTATCTTCTTAGATTTTTTGCAAAGTTATAAAACATCTCATTTTTCAATTATAACAGGATAAAATAGGAAATTACATATAAACAAAACATAAAATGATTTAAATTTAAAATAAAAGCAATATTAAATACAAGTTATTTGCCGCTTTTTTATTTCCATGAAAATAAAGAATACTTATTTGTTGCTACTACTTCATACCAAGTGAAGGTATTCACACCCCTAACATAAGTTCATGACTATTGGAGCTAGCATGAATATGCATGCAATAAGGCTCTACTAGAAAGGTTACACAAATGTTGCTAATACTTTCTTGAAAATCTGATGAGCCCTATGCATAAGCAAGCTCATTAGACACTTGGACATTTCATAATTTAGTAAGACCATTCCAAAGCTACATGACCTAATTTAGGAAGACGATTATAGGTTTCATAATGGTAAACACAATACACATAAATCACTCCTCTCTTTATGAAAGTAGAAATCAAATTTCAAGACCTAACCTCATCTCTCCAAATGGCTCAGAGATGTTGGTTGAAATGTGCAAGTGAAGATTGGGCACGTAAGATAAAATAATATAACGTTATTCATATCTTTTTTCTATTTTCATTCATTACTTTAAGGGAACTACATATCATCTACATGTATCATACTGTAACCACTATTACTATTGCAGAGGTCAGCATTTCTTCACTTACTTTTGATGCTTGCTGACAAGATATTTCTAACGGTAAAATGAGAGTACATTTCATTTAATCACTAAGAGGAAAGATCAAAATGAAGTGTGCTAACGGCTAACAATGAATTAAGGATGCACTGGTAAGACGAGCTATTAGAGTACCTGTTATTGCTCACAAATAGCAGGAACATATCTATGCAAAGCATTAAGCATTGATTTAGATGATCCAGCTGGTTTTGAATGGAATACAATATCCAAGATAAGCGGACTCGAACCGCTGACATCCGCCGCAGGGTAAACCACCGCCACATTTTTTATGAGGTCCATCAGTTCTGCAGATGAGGTTAATATTGTTATCACCTGCACAATAAAGCATAGTTTAGAAAGGGACAAGGAGAACAATAGTAAAATAAAAGCATGTGGAATGCCTAACTAATCTAAAAGTCAATAAGGATAAAAACATGCAATAGATTTTAAAGAACGCTGGAGAGTAACAACATATGCTCTAAAGGGCAGGGCAGCATAGTGCACTAAACTAACAACATATGCTCTGAGACACATAATTACAGGAGTTGGTCCAAAATATTTTGATCAACAGCTCCTGGTGAGATGCTCCAGTCTGTTCACAATTTCTTTCTAATATTAGCAAAATTGAGATGACAGCCAAACTCAAGGCTACTGTGCCACTAGATCTTACAATCCCACGTTCAATGGTACCATGATTCATGGTTTTGGCAAGGCAGCTAAGACCATTGTCTTATGTCCTATAATACCATGCGAGTTATTACATCAGACTCTTCAAAAGAGCGCAAAAACACTTCCAAAGAACAAAGAAAAGTAATTAGTATTACCAACAGTTGCCAATATGAAAATCCACAGTATTTGTTGAAACTGAAACCACAAGACTCGTGTTATCTGGAGCAGTTCTCATTTAGCTAGTGAAAGTTAAAAGTAGCCATATAAAGGTAATTGATGACCAGACATGCCAAACAAAGACCATGCACATAACTGGCAGTACATGTCATGCATTCAGCCACTCATTATTGCAACAAGCACCCAAGTAATATGCGCCAGAAGCTTCTCTACAATAGTAACCAACAAAAGGAAAGATTTGAAAATGGAACAGACCTTTGAAACCATCTTGACTATCACTTCTGGATCTGTGTGAAGAAACTTGTGGGCAAAACCAATAAAATGCATGACCAAAGAGCTGTAGTATAAGTAGTTAGCTAATACAAAAACTTGCCAAGAAGAGGTATAACCATGTGGCATTGACGGGGTAACCTCCTTTAATGTACCTCTATTAGACTTCCCCAGATCCGAAGGATATTGTAAGAAAATCCTAGATTATGTAGCGGCTTATAAATTTGCTTTCAAAAATGTGTAGTCTAGATAGTCATCAAGTAATGGCATTAAAAAACAACTTAATTAGCTAAGAACTCTAACTGCTATGCATGACAATGTGATGATAAATATATAAACAGTTAATGAGCATCCTAAAACACATGAGATTATAAGAAATTATACCTTATTTGTAAGGTCTAATCTAACAAAACGGAAGTAAATACAAAGCAATCAGCTCAGAAATGAAAACGCGCAGAGTTTCAGAAGCAAACCTGCGAGCTGAGTATCATTGGATAAAGCGGTGATATCTATCCATCCAGAAGGAGACATAGACTTGAAAGCAGCTGAAGCAGAAGAAGATTCATCGAAGCCGAAAATTTTACAAATTAGGGTTGGGAAAGTGATGGAGAAGAACCATCGGGTCTGTTCAGCTGTATGCTTGTGTAGAAACGACTCAACGGCGTCGCACGCAGCGAGGATCTGCAGAGGCGACGAGGCGGCGATATCGGAGGATTTCGACTGAGTGTCCGTTGCGTATCCACGAGAAATCATTTTCGCATGACAATGTAAGAAGCTTTGAGTGAAGAGAAATTTGAGGGTTTAGGGGTTTTTAAACGATGGGGGTGGGGGTGCAAATGGCGCTTTTTATATGGGACAAGAGAAGAGGAGAAAGAAGCGGATTTGTGGGTAATTATTCTGGAAACCCGTGGGTCTTCTTTAATTAGTAGGGGCGTTTCGATAATAATTTTTTTTTAAAAAATCTATTTTTAGGTTATTTATATAAGTAAAATTATTTGTATATAATCTTAGATTACTATGAAAGTCAAGAGTTAAGTAGGGGTCTGGGCGGTGAGAATAGGGACTTCGAGTATGGGTGAAGATTGTTGATGCAAGTGTTATGTTAAGTTATGTTTTTTATTGAAAATATTTGAAATAATGTTCGTGTGTAAATATATTTAAATTTGAAGATAATTTTAAAAATAAAAAATGAGTGAAAAATATGTTATAAATTGTGTTCTAAATTTTAAAATGAACTTTAAATTGGATTTGAATTATTTATGATGGAATATTATTTTTAAAATGAAGAGAAAAAATATCATTTTCTAAAAAGTAAATACTAGCATTGCTTCTATACCCAAATGGTACTTTAATGCGTGGCGTTTTTGTTTTTGTTTTTGAGATTTTTAAAATCTGATATTTAATAACGCACTAAAATTTTAACTAATTTAAATTATATATCATCAAACTCATTTGGAGATGACGCTCCTGCCGTTCGTTTTGATTTTGCTACCTGCTTCATTGTGATTTTCCTTCTTTTAGGGTCCCACTGGACTTTTGTGTTTCCACCGTAGGTTTGAAAAGACTGATTTTGAATGCTAAATAGACTATTGTGTGTTTGGAATTATATTATTAAATATTTTCCAATGGGAATAAGAAATTTGAACTTTGAGATGTACGTACATGTTTGGATAATATTTGGTTGAGTTAAAAAAAATTATGTTTTGAAGTTAAGTTATAAAATACTATTTGAACTTTAAATTTTGTTTCGACATTAAGTTTAACTGAAAAAAGGTTTGTGAGTTTATAATTTTAGAAGCAAAAATTATTATCTAACTTGAAATATCTTTAAATTAACATGCAAATATTTCAAGAGTGTTCTAATTAATGTAGTTTGATAATTAAAATACTCTGATAGCCAAACAGAGCCAGACAGGAAACAGGACATTACATGTTTTTGTAAAGCTTTGTCAACAACATTGTGTCTTTTTTGACAAATATATATATATATAAAATTACTGCTTACCAACTATATTTTTCTTTTGAGTTTTTCTGTCTGGTCCCCATTATTCGGATTAAAATTTGATTAAATTGAAATTTGGGTATTTCAAGGTTTATTTTTGGAAACAATGCTTTCAACATGAAATTTTATGTTTGCTATGGAGCTTTTATTTGTATAATTCGCTAGATACATCCAATTTTATACAAATTGTTCAGTTTATACAAAATTCATTTACACATTATAATTTGTATAATAAGATTTGTATTTGTATAATTATAAGTGTATAGGATGAAAATATATGTATTTGTATTTGTATATACACTTTTCTCTCGCTTTATACAAACACAAACGCATTTTATACATTTGTATACCGAATGAGTAATTGTATACCGAACCAGATGACAAAAAAATGAGATATTTGTTGCGAATTACAAATAAAATAAACTATAGCTATAACATTTAATTTAAATTAATAATTTGCTATTTCATACAATTTTCCCTAATTAAAAGTGAATGAAATATTAGTTATCTCATCGTAACTTAGATTGATACATATGCTTTACTATTCTTTTGCATTCCCTGTGTAAATTGATACTCCTATTTGGTTGTTACAATATATTTTATTCCAATACTTTAATTATAACTTGATCTAGAGATTAGTTAGATGATAAGAATTTTTTATACACAATTTTATCTTATATTTTTATAAAAAAATATTTTCACAATTCAAAAATCTTCACTTAATCAGTCACATCAAGACTCCTCTCAAACAACACAGATTGTATCAAGCATTAGTTGCGTGCCTTCGCAACATTCAGTTTGTGTGAGATGTGTATTGGAGAAAACAATTATGAATTTTTTCCAAAGCTTGTTTTTATTTATTAGTAGTCAAAGTTGTAGGTGAACGAAGTATGCTATTTTTTAATTTAAGCATATGATTGGATTACAGATATCCTCCCACGCGGCAATTGTTTTTTTTCTTTATTACATAAAAAAATAAAAACATATCACTTGGATTTAATATGAATTTTTCTTGTGTTTGATTGTGTAAGATTTTCGAAAAATATTATATTTTGTAAAATAATTTTCATGATAATTTTAAAAAAATAAAAATCTATAATGATATACCCCTCCTCCCAGCTTCCCACATACCTAGGAGTGTTCAATGGTATGTTTTATCGGTTATTTTTTAAAAATTATACTATCTTAATTTTTGGATATTTTATAGTACATAATCAAAATTAGATTTTTTAAATCATCTCAATCATATCGGCTTCTCTTCGGTATCGGTATGGTTTGGTTAATTTTCGTTTTTAAAATATCACCTCAAAATATACTACTATAAAGATATTTCTTTCGCAAATATGTTTTTGAAAAAACACTTTAATTCTTCACCAAGAAGACAAGAACTTAAAACCTTGTTGCCGTATTGTTTGATCTTAAACATTTAATAGGAGTGTTTGCATAGATTTTGTTGTATTGTTTGATAGAGTATCTACTACGATATCTTTTGATTTTAAACCTAATCAGGTAAAGGATAATTGATGAGCAAAAACCCAGAGTCATCTAGTCACCGGAGGCCTAGGACCTAGGTTATATTTATATTTGAAAAATGTTATAAAATATATTTATATATTAATTTTAACATATTGTTAATATATAGAATATATTTACATTCATGCAAGATTATTTGGTTCGGTTCGGGATTTTTTCATAAATTAAAAAGACCTTCTCAATTATTCGGGACGGTTATACACTTAATTAAAAGTCCACGGTTTTATTGAAAAAATAACATAAATCGGTTCGGTTTGATTAGGTTCTATCGATTTTTCATATTCTTTTGACACCCTACGTATACCTATCACATCTCCACCATTACCATTTACCGTATAACTTATCTAAATTATAAATATATGGTTTAAAAATATTACCTCAGATTATGTATCAAATATCATAAAATAATTATATATTTTTTTGCTTATTTTTGAAAAATAATTTCCTTCTTACCAGCAACACGCTAATGAAAACTCTTCAGGTAGAGATCAACACGTTGAATGAAAGTAAATTTCATAGTTATAATTACTTAGGTCTTTTGTGTTGAGAAAAGGATTAATCATCTTTAATCCTTTTATAACAAATCATTGTTTGCCTTAATTTATTCATTATTAACTTTGACTCTTCATTGCCATTAATCGAGCCTGATTTGAAAACTTCGGGGCCTTGAAGTCTCAATTCTAAAATACAATTAAAGGATGTGGTACAATGGATGATCATGGCTGCTTCTTCTTAACTAGAGTCTCAAGTTCGAGCCCTAACTATGGAAAAATCATTGGTAGAGAGCACTACTCCCTTATGGGTCCCCATCTGACATGAATTTGAAATAGTTGATCTCCAATATGAGTACCCGACATTGGATGGGGAAAATTTCATATATGGCAAATAAACATAAATAAATTCTAAATGGTTAAACATTTTAAAATTTTGAGCAACTTTTACATATAGCAAACATAAAAATCATATTTGTATGATATAACTATAGATTGTATAATTGCGCTCCATAACAAACTTTATGTTTGCTATGGAGCATCAGATTGTATAACTCGCTGACAGGAGCTTCAGATTTGTATAATTTCACTGGCAGGCCATTTGTATAAATTGCTGGTAGCCTCTCAATTCAACTTTATGTGTTTGTATATCTGCATAAAATTTGAATTTGAATACAATTGAATTTAAATAAAATATTTGTATATCAAATCTCTCTCTCTCGCTTTATACAACATAAATTATACATTGTAATTTGTATAAAGCGAGAAAGAGAGAAAGGCAAAAGAGAACTGGGTAGAGGAAGATCTGTATTTGTATAATTATAAGTGTATAAGATAAAAATATATGTATATACAGTTTTCTCTCACTTTATACAAACACAAATGCATTTTATACATTTATGTTTGTATAAAAGCGAGAGAGGCAAGGGAGAGACTAGTGAGAGTGGCGAGCGAGAAACCTAGGGAGAGAGGTGAATGACAACTGTTTATTATGGGTTACACTTAAATCAAACTGTGGTTATAGCATTTAATTTGAATTAATAGTCTGGTATTTTATACAACTTTCCCTAAAATTTTGATTACATCTTAAATAGCGGCCTTCATGCATGGGCTTGGTTAGCACATCTATCAGGGCTTCAATAAGCGGACCCAGCCCATTAATTAGAGTCGGTTCTTTCAGAGTCCGAATTTCCTAATTTTCTATTGTCAATAAAGTTAATTATTTTTGTTCATTCTTTCTTCTGCTTCTGC